ATCAGATATTATTTTTAAATATTTTATTTTAGTTTACAAAAACAGAATTTATGTAATCATTGTTGGGTAGCTTAAGCAATAGCTTCTTTATATATTCAGGAAAATAGGAAAACAAAATTAATGATATTCCAAACCGATAACAATAAATTTCCCCTCATCAGTTCGTTCAGTTATTGTTGTCCTGCTGGATTTGGGGTTGGCAGTCACATAATGTCTCACCTAACACTGAGCCCTGAACATCCTGATGCAGTCCACTGATGTGGTCTGAAAGTTGTCTAAATGATCTGCTCAGAAGCCTGTCCTCAAAGTCTATCCTCTGAATTGTTAATATCAGTCCAAGGTTTTCAGTTATCTAAAGTTCTTAAAGATTATTTTGAAGCTCACATACCATAAAACATAATTGATTAGTCTTGACACAAAGCTTATCAGAATAATGATTCAGTTAAGGTGAATAAAATTTAATTATTCATAATCATAAACATTATGTAAGGGAAAAGTTAGCCTACTTGATCAGTAAATCTATTTAAGTTTAGAAAAAGCACTCAAATAGAATAAAATACAAGCTTGTTTTATACTTAACATTGATGAATCAGAACACAAACCTTTTTTTTAAATTAAACTAAAATTATTAAACTGGTCTTTCTTGCTACAAAGTTATCTTATGTTAGTCTGGAATGTTAAAACAGTTTTAGTTACTTTTTGTAAAAAAAATAATAAATGTTAGATTTATTCCAATGTTGAGCTGGAATAGGATGACCTTTCTGGGCTGGATTCATCCCTTGGGCCAGCAGTTTGTCATGTCTACCTAGTATAAATGAGCCCCTGTTCACTAAACCAATGGTCTTGAAATTTTTTCCTCATACATTTCCCCCAAATTAAAGTTACATCTAATTTTTTAATTATTACCTTAAGGGTGTAAATTCTGTTACATTATTTTAATTGCCTTTTAAAATAAAATTGTTATATCACATTTTTAAACACATCCATTGGAATTAGAACGACATATCAAACCTGATAAATCAATTTTAAATAAATGAAGTGAGCTCACTAAACTTCAAGGGCACCATGCCCTAGATGGTCCTAGATTGCAACAGGAGAACATTTTGTTCTGAACCTGCATTTAAGATATTTTGCTATTAAGAGAGCAATTTTTATCTCACTTGTGGAAATTCATATCAAAAATAAAGGAAGGGATTGGCCCAAAAGTAAATGTAAAGGTTTACAGCAGGCACATTGACGACTGTCTCTTAAATGTACTATTTATACAGTAGAATCCACAATAAACTGAAGTTAGGTTAATATAAATCCAGTAAGTACATGGTAAAAATATGCACCATCAGAGACAATAAGGAATATCAAAGATAAAAAAGCAGAGAAATCATCTATGCGTGACAGCAAGCCGGAGTCTTACACCCCAGAGAAATAATGTATATGGTTGTGAATTATCCAGGAATCTTGCACAAGTCAAGGAACACATGTCTCCTGTGAATCTAAACTAATTGTACAAAAAAATTAAACAATCTATTGGTCTATCAGAAATAAACCTGGAACTTCTAACTTCCTCTGCCTTGGAATCATGCAAAGTATAATTTAATGCTATAGACACAAGTGAATGAGAGTCTTTACCTTCTCCTTAATGAAGAGACTGAAAATGCTTTTCATACATCTTGACTATTCCAGTTCTAAAACTCATAGATGGATAAGGCATAGAGACTTCTCGGGACGTGTGGACTGGATGAAATAAAGTGCTACCATTTTCAGTATTTCTTACGATGTTCTTTGCTTTGCTCTTCTGAGGCTCTAAGCAACAAGGCTTTGACAATAGTTGAGGCACAGGAGGAAAAACGTGTTAAACAAAAATGTCATCCTTGCCACCACTCCAATTCACCTTGAATTCAGAACATACTCACATGGGTTCAAGTAACTTCCTAATTTCAGGCTTTATTTTTAGCAAAATTAGCAGGAAAGCAAAGAAAGATGCATGATTTACTGCTGGTTCATGGTGACTTCTTTAAAAGAGGTTCTGCCAGAATCAATATTTTGAAATGTTCCTTTGTTTGGCACGCTTAAGATTTCGCAACTGGTAATAAATGATAACTGTAAGGATGGGTGGAAAGTATGGCTTTGTTTTGAAAAGTAAAAGAGGGGCAATTATGAAAGAGGATATTGGAAAAACATCACAGGGTTATTCTCAGACAGATCAATTTTAGGAACAAAAACATGGATTTAAGGATCTGGAAATAGATTTGCTAAAATCTTTCATGCCTATATGTCACCTGCAAAGTCCTCAGGACCCACACTCTCCCCAAGGGGTGCCCAGCCTCCCACAAGGTACATCTACCTCAGTTTAAGGACCGTGAACCTAACTTGCTAAAATTACTTTAATGAGATCTCTTTAACTTAGCTTCCTAAAGAGCTTCTAATAATTCTTTAAATAGGATATTAAAAGGGAGTATAATCCGGATGTTAATTGCATCAAGATGCAATTTAATATTTGTAGAAACTGAGAGCCTATTCTAAAATGTATATGAAAATTCAAAGGACCAAGAATAGACAAGGCAATCTTGAAAATAAAAAGTGGAGGAAATGGAAGATTTGGATGACTAAATATTAGGATTTATGAAAAAGCAATGGTAAATAAGACAGTGTAGCATGGGCACAAGGGTAAACAAATAGACCAATGGGACTGAAACAAATCTACACATGTACAGTCACCTGATGTATGAGAAAGATAACATTCTGGTGCAGTGAGGTAAAGGGTTTTGCTGTTTTTTTTTTCTTTTCTTTTAATGGTGCTGTACAATTTTGTCAAACACTGTATTGACCCCAACCTCAAACCTCACATAATAATTAATTCCAGATCTGTACGGGAAAGATAAAGATATAAAGTTTGCAGGAAAAAACAGAAGGGAATATTTTCAATAACCTTGGGGAAAGCAAAGGTTTTTTTAAACATAAAACAAAATGTGCTAACTAGAGAGAAAACAATGATAAATAGGACTACATTAAAGTGAACACTTCTCTGTTCATCTAAAGAAACTCTTGAGGGATTTAAGGCAACAGAATGTTCACTATAACAAAACTGGATTGATTTCATCTTACATGAAGAATTGTAGATACAAGATTTACTTCCTCTTTCTTTTCTCTGGAGCTGATAGCCACTGGTTGATACCTCAAGGAATAGGACCCTTACAGGACTCTTAAGGGCTTCCCCACCTTCCTCCAAAAAATATTTTTGGTTGTCTTTGAGATTGCATTAGTCATAAAAAACAAAAACAAAAAACTCCCCTGATCTACTGTCATTATTAAGGTGTATTTATGCATGCTCGGTTGCAAACAGTCCATTTTGAACCCTGCTTTCATGTTATATGCCATAAAAGCTAACACGTTCCCAGCATGCACACTCAAATTATGACAAGGATTTTTGTGTGTTTTATCTATTTTACTCTGTCTGAATCCATGTTCTCTCTCAGATTTGAATAATAAGGATGGAGACTTATTCAGTAGCACCTCACTCTTGGGTAGTAACATTTAACTGATGCTACTAGATGGGAATTACTATTTTAGAAGATAGTTATAATTTCAGGCTAGCAAATACAATTAAATTGTGTGTGTGTGTGTATGTGTGTGTGTGTGTGTGTGTGTGTGTGAGAGAGAGAGAGAGAGAGAGAGAGAGAGAGAGAGAGAGAGAGAGAAAGAGAGGAGTGTGATAAAATTCTTTACTTCTGTGCATTTTCTAAATTTTTACAATGGTTATTTGGCAACTGTTTTTATTTTTACAAAATAATTTTTAAACTTTATGAAATAAACAGGGCACTGATCAATTTTCGAGAGGAAACAGAACCAGCTCAGAGAAACAGGGCAGTGGTAGAATGAATAGGCTTCAATTTCTCCTATTGCCAGGTAGGTCTTCTTTTGGTCTCTACTTCACCTTCTAGAACATTTCCTGACACAAATTGGTTAATGCCTCCAAAGAACTTAATGAGGGCACTTACCAAAGGCAATAAAGTTAGGAACTGATTACCTGATATACCAGACACAGAGTTATTTTAAATTTAGTTTTGAACAGCAGGTCCATCTTTAATTTACCTGATACTCTCTTCTTGTATTCTAGCCATATAACTTACCTACTCACAGCTAAAAGTAACTTGTCTGCTTAAGACATGGCTTTTCAGCCCACACATTGTTCTCTGGCGATTTATCTCCAGCTCAAACCTTTTTCCAGGATTACTGTTCAGGGACATGCCTCTTTCTGCTTCTAGTTTAGATAGAAGTTTCTTCCTTACAAGGGAGAAACCAAACCACACATAGAAGGAACACACTAAGTAAAGCTGCTGGTTTTTAAATGCTTTATTTATTACATTGACTTCAGTATCCTCAGTGAATATAATCTAGTTAGCAACCTGGTTTGGTCACTGAAAAAAATGAAACATTTCTGAAACCTCGCCAAACAGTGTAGTGTGCAGACTAGAACTAGTTATGCTTTTATCTCTTTATGGAACAGTCACTACAAACAGTATGGTGTATCTTAAAACCTTCACTGCTGCTCCATAGCCTCTAAACTGTAGAGCAGAGATGGAATCAAACTTCAGAGGAAATCCCAAAGCAACTGTAGTCAAACATTGTCTGGGAAGCTGCCCGTAGGATTGTATTACATGAAAGCTCGAACTTGCTTAAAAACTTGGGCTATTAAAGTCTACAATTAAATTCACATTTTCTTTACGTGCAAGGATGCTATACACGTTTAAGAAACTGGAACCTCTTATTCCCAAACCAGTCAGTTATTTGTAGTCTTATCAGAAAATGTTGGGCCTGTTTGTTTGCTATTTGGTTACTTAAATTGTTTAAACCTACTTTAATGATTTAAAAATGAAAGTGACATTTGTTTATATAGCTATGGTTTAACAGAAGGGTAATTAACTTGAATTTCTAAATTAAAAATAAAGGTGTTAAATATCTTTTGAAAAAAAACAACGATATAGATATAAATGATGGTTTTGTAACTATGAGCATGAATGCAATATAAAGATAACAGGATTTTGAGACAAAAGCCAACAGACTGACTTCTTAAGAAATCAGCCATTTCACGGACTCTGTGATGTGTCTGGCACTGATTCCAAACATATCCAGCAATTCGCTAGGTTTCCCACTTCGAGGGACTCCTGACACTGCCAGCTGATGAACAAGGATGTCAGGCTCCCTGGAGACAGCTGCACAGACAGCTTCTCCAATGCCACCTTCTTGGTAGTGATCCTCCACCGTTATAACCCGGCCACTTGTAGCTTTTGCGTTGGAGATGATGGTGGCAGCATCCAGGGGTTTAATGGTGAATGGGTCAATGACACGAATAGAAATACCTTGTTGAGAAAGAAGGTCAGCAGCTGCTAAGGCTTCATGCAGAGTCACTCCAGCTCCAATAACTGTGACTTTGTCATTGACACTGTGGCGGATGACCTTGGCTTGTCCGATCTCAAAATTTTCTTGGGGGGTATAAATAACTGCAGTTTCCGGTCGGCTGGTCCGAATGAAGCACATCCCTTTGGTATTCGCAGCCAGATAAATGGCACGCTCTGTTGAGACGGCATCGCTTGGATAGAAAACAGTGCAATTGGGGATGCTTCGGAACATGGCTAGATCCTCCAGGGCCATCTGGGAGGGTCCATCTTCACCGATGGATACCCCGCAGTGGGAACCAATAAGATTGATGCTGGTTTGAGAGATGGCTCCCATTCGGATCTGATCAAATGCTCGGGTCAAAAAGGCAGCAAAGGTGCTAACAAAAGCAATGGTTCGACCACGTGCGGCACAGCCCAGGGCCACACTTACCATGTTTTGCTCGGCGACAAAACACTCAATAAAGCGCTCAGGATGTTCTCTCTTGAATATCTCAGAAAAGGTGGAGTTCTTTGTGTCCCCATCCAGGACGATAACTCTTTTATGTTCATGGCTCAGTTTACCCAAAGCCACACCACAGGCTTTCCGAGTAGTTACCTTGTCACCCACTTTATAATCAGGCAGGCGGGTCATTTGTATATTCCTGATGCTGATTTGAGGTGAGTCTTCCACAGGGGGTTTCGGCATGAGAATCTTGTCGGTCTGTATCTGGCTCTCAATTAATTGGATGATGGCGTCCGCCCTTTCTTTTGGCATGGGCTTTCCGTGCCAATTTTCCGCATCCTCCACGTTGGGAATACCCCGGCCCTTGAAGGTCTTCGCAATGATAGCCGTGGGTTTGTTCTTCGTTTGCGCGGCTTGCCGAAACGCTTGGCACAGCGCTGGCACGTCATGGCCGTCCACTAAGCAGGCGTTCCACCCAAAGGCTTCGCAGCGAGTCTGGTAGATGTCCATGCAGTGCTCGAGGGGCGCGACGCCACTCTGGCCCAGGCGGTTCACGTCGAACACCGCCACGAGGTTGTCCAGGTTGTAGTGGGACGCGAAGGCCAGCGCCTCCCAGACGGAGCCCTCCGAGGACTCGCCGTCCCCCAGGAGGCAGAACACGCGGTAGCTGGCCTTGTCGAAGTACCTGCCCGTGTAAGCCATTCCGCACGCGGCCCCCAGCCCTTGCCCGAGAGATCCGGTGGCCACATCCACAAACGACAGTCTTGGGGTGGGATGTCCCTCCAAGTCGCAATTTATTCTCCTCAAGTTCAGCAAGTCGGCCTCGCTGATGTCGCCCACCTCCGCCCAGGCGGCGTACAGGATGGGCGCTGCGTGGCCCTTCGAGAGGACGAACCTGTCGTTGTCGGGGTGCTCTGGGTCTGTCGGCTTGTACCTCATCGTGTGGAAGAAGAGCACGGACATGATCTCAGCTGCGCTGCAGCACGACGTGGGGTGGCCGGAGCTGGAGGCACACGTGGCCCTGATGGAATGGATCCGCAGGCGGTTGGCCATGTCCCGCAGCACCTGCACAGTGTCATCATCGGGCTTGCCGGGGTCGGCCATGGTTCCTGCAGAACAAACGGTGGGTCCTGCCGAGCAAACGTTGGCTGCACGCCAGCCGGCCAGTCGCGTGGCCCCGCCTCCTGGTCCCGCCTCCTGGAGGAAACGGGCTCAGCAACTGGCGAGAGCGAGCGTGTATGACACGCCAGCTCTGTCGCGAGGCTGAGACCAACAGACAATCTCGGGACCTGCCACGTGCCTCCGAACTCCCCTTTCCTCCGCGTAATGGTGCCTCTTTCTCCTGCACGTGACCTCCTCCTTCCAGCCCAATTGAATGGGTTTTCAATATTTATTTTGTTACTTACATGGTCAACATTATTAAAAATCAAATTTCTTTATACCTTTCCTCGTGTTATAAGTTCAAAAGGGGACATTCTTATAGCCATATGTTACAGAAAGCTATTTGTGATGTTGTGCTTTGTTTATATGCATTAACACTGTATCTGAGACATCACTCTTTACAGCAGAGCATTAGTAGAAATGATCCAAAGTCACTTTTTTTAGGCACTTTCAATCTAACTAATATGACAACACTATGTCATCACAGATTTTCTTAGAACAATGGAAAATTCTGACTCTGCCTTATAGATAGAAATACAATGACAAATTTAACCAAAAATTACAAGAAGAACAAGTCTGAAACCATTTACTGGCAATTTCCCCAGCTTACCTTAAAATACTATTATTGTTACTATAAATAATAATTTTTTAAACAAAATTAACTTACTTTAGTTATAAAACTAAATTTGTGCCACTGAGCTCTTCTGGTGGTCAAGATTTATAGCTTATCATAAAAAAATTGAAAAAACACACACACAAAAACACAATGCCAGTATATTATCTCCCATGCTGCTATGTTAAACATCTTGATTCTTGAGCAATAATTCTTAATATTGACTTCATATGAAAATCATGACACTGGAAAAAAAAAACCCACAAACACCCAAACAAAAAATGCTGGGTGGCACCCCAAATTGAATTTGAATCTCTGTAAGTAGTCTGGGAAGCTATATTTTTAAAATGTATGCATTGATTTTAAGTCAAAATTAAGAACAGATAATCATCTGCAGATAGACCAGTGGTTCTCAACATGGGTTGTATTTTAGAGTCACCTGGGGAGTTTTTAAAAATCTCACATCCAGACAGCACTCCAAACAATTAAATCAGAATTTCTGGGTGAAGGATCTAGGCATCAGTGATTTTAAAAGCTCCCTAGACAATTTCAATGTTCAATCAGGGTGTAAACAACTAACTCAGGGGGGGCTTTCTTACTCTTTCTTTTTTTTTTCTTTCCTACTCTTTATGCGTCTCTTACATTATAGCTCAGAAAAATACTTTAAATATTTCCCATTTAAACTAACTCTATCATTTTCATTCTTAAGGATACATATTTGAATAAACCATAATGATATGACACTAACAAGATTTTAAGACTTGATGAAGGAATTTGGGAGTAGGAAAAGTCCTTAAGAGGTCATTTTGTATTCATTACTCCCCAGACCCCTTGCAAATAAATGTTTGCTTACCCTTTTAGAAAAAGAAAGAGAAAATAAAAACAAACTAGAGTTGGGCTGGGAGTAAACATGGGAATTAGAGAAAAGAAAAATTCACAGCATCATAATAGCAAACTACTAGGGGCTGTCAGGAAAGCAGTTAATATAAACACAGGTAGCTCACTATTATTTTGGCTAAGGAGACCTCTAATAAATCCAAATAACTGGTAAACATGATAATTTTCAAATGATCTATGAGGCAGTGTTCACATAAAAAAAAATGGGAGAAATATAAACTACTTAACATTTCTTTTCAAGTTCCCAAAATTTTCCACTCATTTAATTCCATTAAAGCATTGCACAACTGTTTTCCAAAGTATTAAATAGAAAACATTTAACATTAGTAAATGTCAATTGTGTTAATAAAAGAATGTGATCTTGGAAATTTAATACCCTAGATAGTATCAATTTCTCACTCATTCTATGAGACTGTGTGGATTTTTTATACTATGAAGACAATAATATTTTGTGAGTTATTTGTAAAATATTATAAAGTTCTGAGATTTTTTTAAAGGGAAGCCTGGAAAGTTATGTAAAAGTTTTTAATAATATTTCCTTTAAGCATTTTAGTTTTTTAGAGTTTATTTAAACATATACAATTGAAAATAACCATATAAGTATAAAGTATGCATAATTTAATAATGCAAAATTACCCAATGTGGCTGTGAACACAACTTGTCAAATAAATCAAATATATGATACAACATTCTATTCTCCTCATTTAGAAGAGGCTATCATTGACAAAAGACCAGCCAAATATTTTTAAGTCAACATACCAAACATTTAGTTGTCTTGGAGAACAGCCCGCTACTCATTTTAGAGTTCATTTTGGAAGACAGAAGTTTTCTGCAAATAGAAAGAAATTATTTATTTATTAATTTTGGTTTATCTACATAAAGTAGGGATTGTGGAACTCAAGTATCTACTGGGCTAGGGAGGTACCATGAATATATGAATGCCAGATATTATAATAAGAAGGTTGGGAGGGGGCATATGACAAACAAGAATACAAGCCCACCTAAAGGCATTCAAAATTGAAAAATCTGTGAACACTTAGTTGAAAAAAAAAACCCCATAAAACAAAACATCTTCAGGTTGCCAGTTTGATTCTTGATTTAAATCTGTTGAAAATAAATAAATTTTTTTTACTTTTTTTTTTGCTAATTTTTTCTAATAATATGGAAACATATTTATTGTAGTGTGTTCTTCAAATAAAAATAAAACCTAGCAGGATCACTAATACAGATAGCTATAGAGGGAATATTATAAATTGCAGAAATTGTTAAGAGCGGTATCTACTGGATTGCAGTAAACGACACACATAATGATTACTCAGGAGGTCTCCACTGATTTGTGAAAAGATACATATTTGCTCTATGAGGGTGAGTTATATTTAGAGGTTGGGAACACTGAAGTTTCAGTTTTATTTCATCTGAACTGTTGAGTATTGTTAAAATATTTTATAAAAAAAGACATAAATGCTGAGTTCATTTTTTTTCTTCCATGTCTTGAATTTGGTTAATTTAATAGGCTGAGGATAGAGCAAGTAAGGGTAAGATTCTTGTGTGATACAATAGGTTTCTTGGGGGAAAAATGTATTTTTGCAAGCACTGGAAGCGGCATTCTAAATAGATGTTAGTTCAGATTGTGTTATGGTGAAGTCTAGTAAATAATTTAAATATTTTATCAGGGTTTTTTTCTATTAATTACTAAAAAAAACCCCGGTAATTTCCCACCAAGGTGGTTGGTTTTTCTACCTCTTGAAATTTTATCAGTTTTTTCATTATCTGTTTGGAGCTAAACAGATATTACTAAACACATGTATATTTCAAATGTAGAAACTTTTTATCATTATGAAATGATCTTTTCTAGCTACCATAATACCTTTTGACTTAGTCTATTTTGTTTAACATTAATATATCTATACTAACATTGTTTTCATTAGTATTTGCTTCGCACACTTCCATCTTTGAGTTTTGTTTCCTTATAAATACTATGTCTCTTATAAACAGGACATAGTAGTATGTTTTAAATCCAATATGATGTTAATTTTTTTAATTAGAGCACTTAGTCCATAATTGCTATATGTATTTAAATCTACCAGCATAGTTTTCTTTTCTATTTTCCTAGTACTATGTTTTTTTTTTATCCTCCCCTTTATTTCCTTGCATTTAATAATCTTGAGTGTTTTTTTAAATTATTTTCTCTACTGGTTTGTACCTTAGTCAAAGTTATGTACCCTGTTTCTATTCTTTTAATGCTTACCCTAGAAATCAAATGTGTTCTTACTGTATCAATATTTAATGTTAATAAATACTTCACCATTATATACAAACACACATCTCTGTATATTTGTTAAGGCACAAGAAAATATCTACCAACTACAGTACTTATTGGATGGCGGGGGCGTTGGATTGAAGAGGATGACTGGGGGTGAAGGGGGGGGCGGTCATTTGGTCTTTTCTGAGCAGTCCTCCCAGAAGGGGGCCAGCCTCTGAGACACGGGCCCCCAAGACGTCAGCCTAGTTCAGCTCTGGAGTCGTGCCCTGGGACACACGCCCCGACCCGCGTCCGGGCCTGGGACGCCACGGGCCTGGAGCGTCAGGCGTCGGCGAGTCCGGTTCAGATCTCCCACCTCGCACTCGGCGTGGGGCTAAACCCACTCTCCCGCCCCAAGCTCCCTCCCACCACGCCTCGCGAGCGCGCAGGGAGGCTGCCAGCTGGGAAAGGGCTTAGACGTCCCGCACGGGCGTAAAAGACCAGGTCTCGGTTCCCCGGGACGTTTTAGAGAAACGTACTTGCCCCTCCCTTTCCGGCCGGGTCCGCCCCAGCTTCTTCGGCCCCACGTGTGTTTGGGTTGGAGCCCCACTGTGAGCCGTTGAAGCTGCTGTCGGTGAGGTTGCCCGGGTCTGGAGTGCAGAATCCCCCCCGGGGCCGCGGGGACGTCACCATGGTGGGCCCCCTCCCGCTCCCTTGAACCCGCTCGGCTCTCCGGAAGGCTCCCGTGGAGCAGAGTGGCGGGAAGGGGAGGTCTTGGGAAGCTGGGAGGGAGGAGAATGCGGCGTGCTTACACTGGCGGCGCCCAGGGGCTCTGGGCCCAGCGTGCGGACCTTAGAGTTCTGCTTCTGAGTTTTGAGGTGCACACAGGGCGCCCCTCCTCGTCTCGCGCCTAACTTCTTCTCGGCCACTGCCCCCTCGGGGGAAGATTCGCACTTTTACATTTTTCGCTACTCAGTCGGTGTATGGGGGAGCTGGGGGCTGGCAAAACGCGTGAAGGCGCTGCTCCCATTCGCCTGTGCCCCCTGCTGCGGGTGCAGCCTGCGTGGGCCCAGTCGCCCCGTCCTTGGCGCCCATTCACCGCTCAGTAGTGACCCACTCCCGCCCCAAATCCTGCCTTCCCGCCCGCCACGGCACTGAAAATGGTTTGTTGTTTTTATTAAAAAATTGAGTAGACGTGAAAGAGTGTTTATACAACACCCTTAAGTATAAAGATTAGCTGTAAAAGGAACTCTTGCTCATCGATTCTACACTTTAGGAAGTAAAACAGCATAGCTTTTGAGAGCCTCTGTGTTCCTTGAACCTGTAACCTTCAGGAGCCCCTCAGAGGTGAAACTATCTAAATTCTGTATTTGTAATTCCCTTACTTTTCTTTATAGTTGCCACTTATGTTTGTATTTGGTGTTTCTTCTTGCTTTTTTCACTTAGTATATTCTTGAGAATAATTTTTGAATAAGAACATGTTTTATAAATATTCGTGTTGAACAAGTTTTTAATAAAAACGACAACAAAGTTTGTAACCTGGTGAAAGTTATGATTCGCTGGTCATTTTCTCCCCTCCCTTTTTTTTTTTCTTCTTTGGTATGACTGTCATTGTTGTCTTTCATGTTGACTACAGTTTTCTTGCTTTAGATTACATATGTTTGTGTAAATTCATTCTTTTATCACTACACTTGTGCTATAGCCAACCCTTTATAATTTTCTTTCGTAGCCTTTCCCTTTTAGAGTGGAACATTAAAACATTAATAATGTCACCGTGTGTGAGTGATTCAGGGGTTGATTGGTATTTGTCTGTAGTTGTTCTTGAACTTCCCTTTTGTCAGGCTATGTAGTTGGAGTCTATTGCCTTGTAAGAGTTAAAAGAGAGGTGTGCATGTAAATCTGTTCTAGTTGGCACATTTCCTGCCCTGTCATTTTTCAGGTATATCTCCGGTGACCCTGCTGCTCTTCGCTTGAATTTAAACTCAGCTTGGCACTGGAGGTTTTCTGTCTAGACTTTTATATCAGTCACTCTAAACTTATTTCAGTAGAGCTGAGACTGTTGGCTATGGCAAGCCAGTGGACTGAGTCTGGCACCTGCCTTTGCTAAATTATGATCTTGGTGAAATTACTTAACCCCTTTAAGTCTGAGTTGTCCTGTCTAATTTTTGTTTTTATTTTATTTTTTAGCTGAGCCCAGCTTGGGGGGCGGGGAGGGGGCTCGAACCGCTGTTGCTCAGAGCTCACACTCTTGAGCGAGCTGTTAACCAACTGAGCCACTCGGCTGGCCCCTGTCCTGTCTATTAAATCGGGATAACCATAGTGCCTACCTCAGATAATTGTGAACATTCACTGTAAACCAGTTAGCCTGGTATCTGGTATTTAGTCAATGTTAGTTGCAATTGACTTTAGTAATAGTAGTAAATAGTAACAGCTTGTAGTTGTCCACTCTTGTTTCTTTACTTTTGCTTATTGTGAATGTTTCCTACAGTTTCACAAGTTCATACCTTCTCCCTTATATCAAAACTTAACTAACGTGAACCTTTTTAAACCAATCTATCCCACCTGACACTTCATTCTGCCTTAGGTTTCAGTGCTTCTAAGCCTGTGTGTACTAGGCACTCACAGGTACACTTCTTTTTTATATAAGCCTGTGATGGAGTTTAAGTGTGTTTATCTACCCAGCTAGATTATAAACCATTAAAAAGTGTACCAATATCCTCCCTTGATTACTATAACTGACTACCTACATATTCTGTAATGACAAGAATTGTGTGGTGGTGGGTTCACATCTGTAATGTGAGCTATAACAATAAGTCGGCTTAATACATCTTGTTTCTCTTTTCAGCTCTATTGAGATATAATTGACATATAATATTGTGTAAGTTGAAGATATACAACGAGATTTGTTATACATATATATTATGAAGTTATTGGCACAATAAGCTTAGTTAACGACCCTTACTTCACATAGTTTTATTTTTTCCCCTGTCATGAGAACGTTTAAGATTTAGTCTCTGAGCAACTTTCAAGTATACAATACAGTATTGTTAACTATTGTCACCATGCTGTACATTAGAGCCCCAGGACTTAATTCATCTTATAATTGAAGTTTGCCCTTTGACCACTTTCACCCATTTCCCCCATCATTCACCCCTGACAACCACTAATCTAGTCCTTGTTTCTTTTAATTTTGTATTTTAACACAAATATTGGAAGCATATTGCTCCCTGAAATACCTTTCTCTGTTGCCCGGGTTTTTTTGTGTGTTTTTTTTTGAGGAAACTATTATGTGTTTTCTTCTATTACTCTCAATTCTGAATTCAAAGAATAGTTTAGAATGAATTTTCTGAAGTAGTCACTAAAGATTGTAGGAAAGAGTTTCAATACAAGTTTTCTGACTCCAGTATTTCTGTGGTGCCAGAAACTTCTCAAAATAGGCAGTTATTCAAAACAGTCTATTAGTTATCCCCATGAAAATAAATTGTACTTCTGCTATATCTTTGAAGGTTAAATTTGGCGATTTCAAAACATAAAATGTTAATCTTCCACAGAAAATACACCATAAGCCCTGTCCCCCAGTTTTGTTACATGTTTACATTCTGTACTATTATTGATAGAGTTTTACTTCAGTTTTCTCTTGAAGCATTTTTTTTGTGGTATATTGAAAAATATGAAAATATTTTGGATTTTAATGTTTTATTGTACCTGTTTCTGTGCCTTACTATATATACACATCCTGCCTTGGGCAACTTTTTCATGAATAAGTTACTATAAGGAATTATAAACTACAGTTGAGTCAGAATACAAGTTCAGTTTCTCTGTACCTTCTTTGTACTAAGTCTCGGTTTCTTTAACTGAGATCTTCTAAAGCTATGAAGATATTTTCATACCACAAGGGTATCAAACTATTTTGTGTTCTAAAGAAAGTTGAAATCTTTAAAGGAAATTTTTTTTAATAGTTTTATTTTTTTAATTACAGTTGGCATCCAATATTATGTTAGTTTCAGGTGTACAACATAGTGATTAGACATTTATATAACTTACGAAGTGATCACCCAATGACTCTAGTACCCGTCTGACAGCATACATAGTTATTACAATATTGTTGACTATATTTCTTATGCTGTACTTTACATCCCCGTGGCTATTTTGTAACTACCAATTTGTACTCCTTAATCCCTTCCCCTTTTTCACTGACTCCCCCCAACCCCTTTGCCATCTGGCAACCATCAAAATGTACTCTGTATCTATGAGTTTGTTTCTGTTTTGTTTGTTAGTTTATTTTAATTTTTAGATTCCACATATATGTGAAATCATATGGTATTTGTCTTTCTCTGTCTGACTTATTTTACTCAACACAGTACCCTCTAGGTCCATCCATATTGCAGATAGCAAGATTTCATTCTTTTTTTAATGACTGAGTAATATTCCATTGAGCAAGATTTCATTCTTTTTTTTATGACTGAGTAATATCCCATTGTATATGTACCACATCTTCTTGATCCATTCATCCATTGATGGACACCCAGGCTGCCTCCATATCTTAACTATTGTAAACAGTGCTGCAAGGAACATATGGATGCACATGTCCCTTTGAGTAGTGTTTTGGATTTCTTCGAATAAATGCCCAAAAGTGGGATTACTGAGTCCTTCTTTGTCTCTCGTTATAGCCTTTGTTTTTTTTTTTAGCCTTTGTTTTAAAGCCTGTTTTGTCTAATATAAGTATTGCTACTCTAACTTTTTTTGTTTGTTTCCATTTTCATGAAATACCTTTTTCCATCCCTTTACTTTCAGTCTGTGTGTGTCTTTTGATCCGAAGCAAGTCTCTTACTGGCAGCATACATAAGGGTCTTGTTTTCTTATCCATCAGCCACCCTATGTCTTTTGGGTGGAGCATTTAACCCATTTACATTTAAAGTAATTGAAGGTAGATATGTAGTTATTGCCATTTTATTACTCATATTTTAAAATCTTTTTTTCTCCTTCTATTTAAAGAAGCCCCTCTAACATTTCTTGTAATACTGGTTTGATGGTGATGAACTCCTTTAGTTTCTTGTCTGGGGAGCTCCTTACCTGTCCTTTGATTCTGAAAGATAGGGTAGAGTAATCTTGGTTGTAGGTCCTTACTTTGAATATCACTTTAAATATCTTGTACTGTCCTTTCTAGCCTGAAAAGTTTCTGTGGAGAAATCAGCTGACATCTTACAGGTGCTCCCTTATAGGTGACTAACTCTTTTTCTCTTTTACCTTTTTCTTTAACCTTTTAGAGGCAGTCTACCATGAGTTCTGAAAGTTTTTACTTGATTCATGTTTGCTAGGTAAACTTCATACATAAAAAATCCTTACACCTTCCCCCACCCTCACTTCCACATGTGCAGAGAGACACACAAAAGAATGCACATACTGTTTTATGATGCTTTACTCTGTATTCCCTTTTACCTGTAACCAACTTCCAGTGCCATTTTGGGTTTCAGACTTGTAGCTATCTTCTCTGGTCAGGTTTACCAAGAAGTGAGCAGTAAATACTTGTCAAGTGTTTTAGTAAATATTTTTTTAAGGAGTGAATTCATGTGTGAATGAGGGATCGGTGGTCCTTTTAATTAATTCTGCCTGGAGAGTTTTACTAAGGATGTGACTTTGACCTGCATCTCTTCAAAGGACAAGTAAGGAAACGGATTTTGCAGGCAGAGGTAACAAGTGCAGTCTCAAGAAGTGATGAAACAGCAAGGTGTGGTCTGGAAATGGTGAGAAGTTCTGTAAGAATGGGATGATGACTATGTTGAAGAAGGAGAGACAAGGATGGAGAAGTAGGTTGAGGGTAGATTGTTTTCCATGTTAAGGACTTAGGACCTAACTGTGAGCTAGTATAGTGTCATAGAAAAATAAGCTCTGTGACTTCCATGAAAACGGCCATGCTACTCATGAAAGATCATGAGGCCAAATTAAGGCAATGACAATTTTGAAGAGACGATTCTAGAAACATTTAACCTTTTTGAGTATTAGGTAAGTTAGAGACTGCTAGCTACCCCCTAATGGACTTTCTTTTTCCTTTATAGTAATTTATTCTTTTCTGAGACTAAACATTACATTTACTACTCTCCTTTATATAACCTTCTGTTGAAATTTTGGTCAGTGGGATGGAAGCAGAAGACTGCCACTTCCCAGATCTTGCTTTAAAAGAAAGCGGGGTGCCTTTTGGTTTTCTTTTCTGCTTCTCACTGGCTGGTGTTTAGACCTGGCATTAAGCCATCCTGGACTATATGGATATACAGAAGGTTATATAGCCTGAGGGTAGTAGATAACAAGATGGAAGAAACCTGGATCTCTGAGGGCTGTGTCAGCAGAGCCTCCGGCTCCTACTTTTTTACATGAGAGAACTAAATTTTATCTGGGTTAAGAAATTATTATTTTGGGTTTCTATTATAGGAAGCCAGACCTAATTCCTAAATAAATATAGGTGTGATAGATATAGAATTATGTAGGAGTAAAGAATTACTGAAATGTCTAGTTTAGAGCACTGAATGAATTGTGACCTACTTAACTGGCATAAGGCTTGAATGGGAAGATAATTTGTTTCCTTTTGGATGTGTTAATTTGGAGATGGCTTCTATTATTTCCTCTGTTCCTGTTTTCCTATGAGCCCAACTTTGATTTTGTTTGATTCGCTGCCCACTCTGTTGCATGTACAACTTCTACAGTCAAGCTGCCATTAACGCCCTGTGTTCTTTCTGCCCTCCTTAACTTTCTTAAATGTTACACAAATTTCCAACTGTGAGTTCCCTCCCTGTCTGCATTTTCTGTACCTACTTTGAAGGTGGAACAGTTGAAGAGCTGGATTTATTGACCCTTTCTGTTCCTATCTGTATTTTCCTACATCATGGAGAGTAGTTCTGAATATATCTGTTATGACCATGGAAACAAAGACTGAATTATTTAACAAGTCTGGCTCATCTCCCCATTCCTAGTGTTTCTGGCTCAAACTATTTCTGTTATATTACTGTTTTTCGAATTTATTTTTGAAGGGATTTTTTTTTGACAGAAATCACTTATATATCTGACTTACATGTGTCATATGTTTTTTTTCATTTTAGCCTAAAGCACTAAAGGGAAAAATTGTGGGACGGGAAAAAAAAGTCATCCATCCGTATAGTAGAAAAGCAGCTCAAATTACGAGAGAGACCCACAAAAAAGAAAAAAAGGAAAAGTAAGTGCCTCTTTATCATTTGTATCGTGCATTGCTGAAAAACCTATTTACACATTTCTCCTTCATTAATATTCCTCTTCTCCCTTTAAGTATTTTCTATGCACTGAGAGTAAAACAGCAAGAATTCAGCTCTTATAGACCTTACCTGAAACAGATACATAAATTTAAGTAGATTGTGATGAGTGCAGTGAAGAAAAACTAAAAAGGATTATGAGATGGAGAGCGAGGGAGAAAAGTTCTGTTTTACATAGGATAGTGGAAGTCTTCTCTGAAGAATTTACATTTGAGCAGAGAGCTGAAAGATGGGAGGGAGGGAGCTATGCAGATATATATACACACACACACACACACACACACACACACACACACACACACACATGTACATGGCATATAGGTTAAAGTGCCTATTAGACATATAACAGGCGATATAGAATGGGCAGTTAGATATGTTTAGTCTGGTGTTCAGAGGATAGGGATGTAGACATAAATTTGGGAGCCATCAGCATCTATGTGAGACTATAAGCTATGAGGCCAGATAAGGTCAGCTAATGAGTAAATGAAGAGAGGAAATATTGGGTTGTCGGAAAAGTCATGACGCATTTTTGCAACGAAAAACATAGAAAAATACCTCATGACTTCTCTGACAACCCAATGGAAGGGAACCCAGGGTTAGTCCAGAGGCCCTTCACTTTGGCGAGGTTGGAAAAAGGAGGATCCAGCAAGTGAGACTGAGAGGGAGGGAAAGAAGATAGCGTTTCAAAGAGAAGGTAGCCATTGACCTATGTGATTTGCTGTCAATTAATGTGAGGAATGAGGATGGATTTAGTAATTTGACTTAGTAATGTGGAGCTCATTTAGTAAAGTGGAGATCACTGTATATTTTTGTGGGTTATCTTCTTAGTTGTTGTTCTGGAAATTACATGTTAACTCAAAACTATCTAATTCAGGTTAATGTCAAGTTAATTTCAATAGTATACAAAATGTTTGCTCCACTGTAGCTCCATTCCCACCCCTGCCTTTGTACTGTTACTGTCATTTAAATTATATCTTTATACATCAGAAGCCCATAAACACAGTTTCCTAATTATGTTTTTATATAACTGTCTTAAATTAGAAGACAAGTGTTACAAATAATACATTTATACTGTCTTCAGGTTTGCAGTTGTGTTGTTGGTATTTGCTGTGTGTCTTTCCTGGTCTAATTTTGCAAAGTCTGTTCACTGTGTGTGGCCATTGAAATTTCTGCTCAGTGAGTGGCCAGCTAATGTTTAGACCATGATTTCTTTAAATGTCTTCCATTAATAGGTCTCAGCTGTTGCCGAGGGCCTCTGTGAGTTGTTGGGCCTGCCTTCAGTGCTCCAGTAGGTGGTTTCCTGAGACTTTATTTCTTGTTTGCTTAGAGCCTCCCAGTTAGCCAGAACTGAGAGACGAGGATTTGTCAGGTCTTTTCTTGGCATGACGCAGTTCCTGAGCATGCACATGACATTCTAGATTCCCAGGAATATGTTGGAGCTAGCTTTTCAAAACCCTCTATGGACCTTCCATTTCCCAGTTTTGTTTTTCTTTTGTTTTTCATTTTTTGGTCAGCCTTTTGTTAGCTTCCAGCTAGTAATATCACTTAGGAAGCTGCTGTCTTAGACAATTACTGCTGATGATTTTCCAGAGACAACCTGGGAATAGGGCTGTTTCTGCAGAGAGAGCTCTGAGTCAGATTAAATAAAGACAAAATAACTGTAAGAATGGAGCTTTTCAGTATATTGCCTTTCAGATCAAATGGTATCAGTTTTTTTAATAGCAGCATCACTGACCATGGGTCATTTTTAGTTTAAATGGGAGCATGGTCACAGATAGCTTTTTTTTTTTTTTTTAAGAGTTTATTGGGGAATTTGGGGAGGGGAACAGCATTGGGTCGCTCACAGAGGCTCACACCTGCTGCCGGCCAGCCCCACTGCAGCCTACACCATTGCCGGCGCCTCATGGCAGCCCAGCTCCAGGTCAAGCTGTTGTTCACCATCTTAGCTGTAGAGGGCGCAGTGTCACTGGCCCTCATATGTGGGATCCGAACTGGGGCCCTGCTGCTCAGAGCTAGCATCCCAAGCCAGCTCTTAACCAACGCGCCACTCGGCCAGCCCGAGGACAGTCTTTGCAACCTGATTTAGGAATGACATCCGTCATTACACTATTTTATTTTATTTATTTGTAAGAAACGAGTCACTAGGTCCAGCCACACTCCATAAGATCAAGGACACAAATATCAAGAGGCGAGAGTCAGTGGGGACCATCTTTTGTTACTATCTGCTGACCAAAGATACTTGATTTTCTAAGGAAGGGAAGTAGCCAGGCAGCCGGGAGTATCCAGCTTTTTCTCACAACCCAGGACTCTTTGTACCACTTCCTCGGGTTTCTTTTTAGGAAGAAAGAGAGGTTGAGGGGTGTGGAGTTCAGGGAGGATATCTGTTAGGGTGCAACGCCTTTGACCAGTAGTAGAAAATGCAAACACAGACCTTCTGGGTTGATCAGATTGACTCTTTTTGATGTCCTCTGATTACTTAAAAAGATACTGTAAGAGTGACTAGCAACAGAGTAAGAATTCAAACAGGTTCTTCATCTTTAGTATTTGAATGCTCTAATTTAGAACTATATGAAATACTGCTTCTGTTCATATTAAAAGAAAGTAGTATGGTTTGTAGACTAGCACATTTCAAGCAATGCACAATTTACAGTCTGTATCATGATTTTAGCTTTATTCTATGATTTCTCAGCATAGCAACATTTTGTTGCTATGTACTGTCATCTTGTCCTGCAGGGTATGTAGCGAGGAACTCTAGATACCAAATGAAAATGAGTTAGTATGAAAAATGAACAAAGGGAAACTAAGCATAATGGGTAAGAATCTAGGAAACAAATACTTTTGAGAATTAATCTATTTCTGTTTTTCTTTATCCCAACTGATGCTACTCTATTTCCCTCAGGGAGCTCATTCAACTTGACTTCTAACTAGATTCTTCCCACCAGCCTTATTTGAAAGGAATAAATTCTTTCAAAGCTACTCTGAACCTTGGTATGAAGTGTTCTTTATTTTTTAAAGCCAGCTTTGAGGTATAAACAACATACAGTAAAATAGACATATTTGAAGTGTGCAAATGTGGAGCTTTGACGATACACTGATGTCATGCCCATGAGCGGTACGCAGTGCATCTTCATCCTCCACAAAGGTCCCTGTGCCTCCTCGCAGTCAGCCCTCCCCTCCACACTCAGCCTCAGGCAACCACTGATTGGCCCTTTATTTTGATAGGTGAGATTTGTCTTCCTAATGTTTCATATAAATGAAATACCGTATATATTTTTTGCCACCTTCTTTCACTTATCATAATGTTTGTGAAATTTACCCATGTTATTTCACATATTAGTTGTCTTTCTCTTCTATTACTGAGTAGTGTTCCATTGTATTGATATGCAGTTTGTTAATCTATTCATCTGTTGATGGTCATTTGGGTGGTTCAGAGTTTTAGGCTATTTATTACAGAGGTCTGCAAACAAGGGCCCAGCCCCTGTTTTTATAAAAAGAGTTTTATTGGAAAGCAGCTATGCCCATTCCTATCACATTGCCTTTGGCTGCTTTGAGTCTACACTGGCAGAGGGGAGTAGTTGCGATGGAGACTGACTATATGGCCCTCAAGCCTAACATCTTATATCTGGCCATTTGAGAAATTAGACAACCCCTGCTATTATGAATAAATCTGCATGGACAATATTTGTGTGGACATATGCTTTTATTTTTTCAGTTTCTGGAGCTGGGTCATATGATGGATGTATGTTTAAGAATATAAGAAATTGAGTTTATAATAAGTTTATAAGAATTGCAGATCATGTGAAAAGTGTAATGTTTAAGTATGTAAGAAAGTGCCTTTTCCAAAATGATTGTACCATTTTATGTTTTCACCAGTGTATAAGTGTTACATTTGTTCCATATCCTCTCAAATATGTTGTATTATTAGTTTGTTTAAAAAAAAAAAAAATATATATATATATATATATATATATATATATATATTTAGCCAATCTGGTAGGTGTATAGTAGTATCTCAGTGTGGTTTTAATATACACACTTAGTAATCTTAATGGCTACCGGTGTTAAGTATCTTTTGATGTGCTTATTGGTCATTTGTATGCCTTTGACTTGATGGAAAAAATTTGTTCAAGTCTTTTGTCCTTGGTGGTATTGGGTTGTTTGTTTATCGTTAAGTAGAAAGAGCTGTTTGTATATTCTGCATGCGAGTCTTTTGTTCATTATTTGTATTGTGAATATTTTCTCTCATTCTGTGGCTAAAAATTTTTTATAAAAGAGGCTTTGTTTTATTCTCCAGTTGTCTAGTTGTTTAAACTGAGAGTAAATCCTGCCTGCTTTGTTAGGGCAGGGACAGTGGATTTTTTTGTTCATTGCTATATCCCTAGTGAGTGTCATAAAATGTAGCAAAAGCTATCCAAAGACCTCTTCTGAGTCAATTAGGATATAGAATATCAACAAGAGAAGGCAAATATCCCCTAGACAGTTTTCTGAGAAAAAAAATGAATCTTTTTCTTTGTTATAATTCCTTTCAAATTTATGAAAAGTAACCATTTTGTTTTGTTCTTGTTGAAGTTTAAAAGGTGACAGTAATGTATTTTGGTTTTGGTGGCAGCACTCAATCTTCTAGAAGGTATTCATTACTCTTTTGTGCACAAATATTCTGCATATTACAATACCCGCCTGAACATTTATAATTCAATCAAGCTCTCATTTGTGTTTTCAAAACTGATTAGTTCTATAGGTGTCCTTTAGTCATTGCAGAGCTAAAATAAGCGGTTCTAATAACATTTTGTTCCAAGGATTTAAAAGAGAAGCATGGTGTTCAATGTTTCTGTATTAACAGAGTTAACTTCATATGTACGAAAGAATGATCTTTGAAGTAAGTTTCTTTAGGCAGTTTTTGTTTTGACAGATTTTTAAAACTTGATTTGGAAATTTTCTAACATGTTATGCACCTTTTCTTCCAAGGTTGAAGAATGAAAAGGCTTTGCGTCTCAACCTTATTGGTGAGTGGATTTACTTATTTGACATTCTGGCTAGAATATTGTGAAGCTCTGCCCTGTGCCTGTTTTTCTTTTGACTTTCCTAGTGAAATACTATTTTTTTCTAAGTGAATTTTCTTTACCAGACTTGACTAAAACAAAACAAAATAAAATCAATCGTTAAACTCTTAGAACAGTGTTAATATTTCTAGCTCAGAAGTGTTTCAGAAATTGTCTGGTTTATATTCACCTACCTACCTACCTATCTGCCTCTATCTATCTATCTATCTATCTATCTATCTATCTATCTATCTATCTATCTATCTATCTATCGATCGATCGCTGAAGTTTAATTTTAGCTCCCTAACCATTAGAAGTACGGCCTAAGTATTTTGGAAACAGTAGTTCATATGTAATGATGTGGATACATACATCCTCAGTCTGTATCTCAGTGTCACAGTCTTTTTTTTTGGAGGGGTGTCAAATTTATTGTTAGTAAATTTTTACTGATAAGCCTGATATTTCAAAATAGTGACTATTAGGCTTTTTATTAAAATTAAACGTATTTGAACTCTTAATCTAGTGCTTCATCAGATAATGGAGTAGTATTCCTAAATGGGTTCAGTATCTGGAGTAGGGCCATTTCTTGATCTCTAATATTGAGAAATCTCACTGAAAGTGACCCTTACGGTCCGATTTACTCTTAAGGATGAGGTCTGTTAGGTCTTTGTATCGAGCAGATGTTTATGTTTGATGTATTTATTAACTTTGAGGCCCTAGACAGGTGTCTTAACCCTTCTCATCTGTGAATGGGGATAACAATAGTATTAATCCTTACTGAATTGGGAAGCTCTTGGCATAGTGCCTACTGCTTGTTAAATATTCAGTAAATACCATTCTCATCGTTAATCCAATTAAGTTTTCATTTTATTATTTTAGTTCAATCCTTTGCTTTTTAAATATTTAGACTGTTGTGTTAAAGTATTCTTTCTTTTTTTTAAGTTTTGCATCCTTATTGGTTAAGAAATTTATACAGAAAAGCATCCCTCCCACCCCTTTCTCTTCCCCAAATTAAAATGTGACGATTTAATTTCTTACAGACTGGTTTAATTAGCTTTGAGCCCACTCAAGGCTCTATATTTAGCATTGAAATAAATTTTGATGCTGTTTTAAATGCATCGATGTTGAAAATTATAATGAATGCATCTTTCCTTAAATGATGACTTGTATTTAACTTGGTGCTTGTTGTTATAGGTGAAAAACTGCAGTGGTTTCAGAATCATATTGATCCCCAAAAAGTAGCATATTCAAAGAAAAATGCTTGCGAATTAATTGAAAGGTAAACACTGGGCTCATTATGAACAAAAGGTCAGAAAGAGCAATTCTTCAATCTGGTTCTTCAGCAACTCTTTCTGTTCTGGATTTAAAGAAGAGCAGACAGATGGGCTTTGTTATTGAAAAGACATTGGAATCATATCCTAGCCTCTACACTTTAGTAGGCTGTAATCTTTCTGGGCCTCAGAGTGGTAGTTAACCCAACTTCTCAGGACCTGGAAAGGCTTCCTGGAGAAATGTCATCCAAAGTGTCACCTGAAGGGTAGGTATTGGCAGATTGAGGTAAGGTATAATAGTTTGAAGAGCCTCTAGGCAGAGAGAACAATATCTAAAAGGCCCAACTGTGAGAAAGACGCTTATAGTGATCTACCAGACATTTAATGACTGGAGTAACAAGTTCAAGGAGGGAATTGTGACAGGTACAATAAGTGACAATCAGCTGTTGAAAACCATCCAATATCATTGTAAGAGTTTGTACTTGATCAAACGACATTGGGAGCCGTGGGAGGCTCTTAAAACAGAGCACCTGGGATGATCATGTTTAGACTTCAGAAAGGTCACAGCAGTGCGAATGAGGATGATGGCCTGAGGGGCATGGCTTTGGCCAGGAGAGGCTGAGAGGCTGGTGAAGCAATCCGGGCAAGAGATGGTGGCAGCCTGTGCTTGGTTAGTAGCAGTGTGGTGAAGAGAAATGAAGGATTTCAAAAATGCAAAAAATTCTCTCAATCTTGAGCGAAAACTTAGATGAGGCATAAAAGGGCGAGAGAGGAGTCGAGGAGGACACTTAACATTCCTCATTTGGGCAACTGGGTGGATAGTCGGACTGTTCCCTGAGACAGTGAGCCAGAGAGATGGGGCAGGTTGGGTGGGGGGGTGGCTGGGATGGTTGAGGACCTGGTCAGTTTCGATGTGTTCAGCCTCCATAGGACATCAAGTGCAGACGTGTAGGAGGCAGTTGGATATGAGGATCTGGAGTGTAACAGATACTTGAACGGCAGGCAATGATTTGGCTGCTAACATTTTGGGAATGATTGAGTTATCCAGGGAAGGTCTGAGATCTGAGAACTTGAGGAACTCAGAGGACTATAAAAATGTAAAGGACAGGTGAAAGCTGGGGATTATGTTTTAAATGAAATACTATAAGCCAGATATGCACTTTGTAACTCACATCGTTTTCTTATTTTTCAGGTATTTAAATCGATTCAACAGTGAGCTGGAGCAGATTGAATTACATAACAGTATCAAAGACAGGCAGGGAAGGCGGCACTGTTCCCGGGAGACGGTCATCAGGCAGACAATGGAGCGCGAGCGACAGCAGTACGAGGGATATGGCCTTGGTGCGTTCTTCACTGCGCTTTTCCCTTTTCCTTTATAAAATACATAGCGGTATCAGCCTTATGATTGATTTCCAAAGTTTGTTATTGTCTTTAGTTTAGTTTGATTTTCTTCCTCTGATTTCCTTTGTTTTGTGAGTATATGGAATCATTTTTAATTCTTTTTTTCGTTTTTTACATTCCCCAAAACTGTCAGTTGTGACAGTGACATCATGTCTTTGTAACGTGAGAGTAAAGTTGTCCTCTCCCCTCTGGCACATATGTATTTGCTTTGTTTTAGATTTATTACTTCCCCATGTCCAACCACATCTAAGTTTCTTTAGAAGGCACTGTGTCCTTTTCATCTTTGTAATTCTTGTAGTACAAAGCTATACTTGCACTCTTTCTTGAGAAAGGATAGAAATCAAATATTCATTCTTAGCATTGTAACGTTTGTTACCATTCCTAAAGACAAGTATGCTGTTGGTTTACCGTCTGAAGAAAAACACCTAATAGGAGAGGGTGCTTAAGGCTTGCAAAGACCTCAAATAGGTGAGGACCCAAACGCTACATATGGCCTACAAGTGATGTTTGATTGGCTAATTAATTTTCTTTATTAAAAACTGTGGTGATTTCACATGAGAAATGTAGATTTCTGGCTTCTCTTAAAAATTCAGATGATTTGGCAACATAATTTGCTAGATTACTATACTCACCTATCAGTTAAAAGGAGCACCGTATGGCTTCCCTTTGGCATACCTGAATTGCCAGAATCACTACTTGCATTTTGGGGCCATTAAATAAAATAAGGGTGACTTGATCAAAGCATCGTGATACCACAACAGGTGATCTGATACCCAAGACAGCTACGAAGTGGCTAAGGGGCAGGTAGGTGGAGATGCTGAACAAAGAAAGGGATGGTTCACGTCCTGGGCAGGATGGAGTGGTACATTCTGAGACTTCATCACGCTATTCAGACTGGTGGCAATTTAAAGCTTATGAATTAGTTATATCTGGATTTTCTATTTAATATTTTTGGGCTGTGTTTAACCTCCGATGACTGAAACCTTGGAAAGCGAAACCACAGATAAGGGGGGACTCCTGTAGGTTTGTTTTATTTTATAGATTCTATGCAGCATTTATTATTTAATAGCATTCTCTTTAAATCACCTTAAACTAAAACCTTTATACTTATAAAACTTACTGTCATATAGCATTATAACAGTGCTTTTAAATTTTGTTTTGCTTTGGATAGTCTTGCTGTCAATTATTATTTGTTGTGTCTGAGATGATAAATGAGGAAACTATAAAATGTTATAATTTAGAAAACATTGCCTAATGAATATAAATCATTTTCTTTCCCAGAGATTCCAGATATTGTAAATGCAGGTAATCTGAAAACTTTTAGGTGAGTCTGTCACTTTTATTGTTCCTTGAAGTTGCATGTAAAATACATGAGACATAAACTTTCTTCCCTTTTCAGTCTAGACATTAGAGCTGAAAGAAAATCAGGGTTTTTTTGTTTTGTTTTGTTTTTTACCCATTTCTCTTTCATCAAAGTATAATTTTCCCAAATTGTGTTTATTTGAAACACCAGTTACACACTGAAATGATAGTGACGTGCTTTTTTTGTTTTGCTTTTCAAAATATTTTAAAATACGTTACTAAAGTACTTAAAAGGACTTCATCTCACTCTTCCTCCCCAATTCTTAATTTTTAAAATGAGAAAATAACAGGAGCAGACTTGATGGCTCAGAGTCACATCCCCAGACTGTTCGCAGCACCTTCCTTTGGAGAAGCTGGTTAATGGGAAGTGATACAGGGAAAGGGCTAAGTCATCCAGAGCCAGGCGGACCAGTGGGCTCCCTAACAGGACTCTTTTTTGACCAGAGCAAACACTGAGTAGGATTTCAGTTTCGAAACATGGCTTGTCTTTAGAAAATGATATTTTATTAAGCATTTTGGTCTTAACTAAACTGTGCTGATGCACCTGAAATTTTTTATGTTAATTGAAATTAGACAAATTTAAGTCCAATCATGTTGTTTGACACCTTTAAGCTCATTTTGTATTTTTATACTTCTGAATTTGTAGAAAAATACTTAGTATTTAATATTTATAAAATATTAGCTTTAAATAAATTCACCAATCATATTTAAGTAGTTCATTGTTTAGCTCATGTACTTGTATTTATAATTTGGATACATGGAGCTCAAGATTTTTTTTATGCTTTTATTTATTTTTTGCCTGTAATATTCATTAATTAGACATATGTATGCTCTTTATTTCTGAAACAATGCATGTTCTGGCTCTCCCAAAGAAAGCCAGAAATGAGAGCAGAAATTAGCACAGACTATTATTATATTAGTACTGCTGGTTGAAGTTCAGTTCTCAAACAGTCTTCACATTGTTCCTAAAATAAATCTACATTCAATGCTGAGGTTGAACACTAAGTTTTCTAGTATAACCGTAAAAGTTGCTTGATTACTGACACTTTCCTGTGACTTCTCATCCTGTGTGAAAAGAAAAGCGTTTCTGACTGTGCATTTGTAGATTTGCCAGGTGTGATACAGTTTCTACCTGTGAGGTCCTCGAAACCACAGAGCCTGACTGAGGGGAGTGTTCAGGGTCGGGAGGGTCAGAGTGGAACAGAGCCTCCTTGTAGCCTCTGCCTAGTGTTTTCCCATATTGCTTTGGAAGTTTGGGATGTGCGGGAGTCTCTAACGACTTACGTTGTGGCTAGTGCATTTGAATCTGCTGTGAATTTATAAACTTTGTTCTGCTACGTTGAGAGTTTTGAATATTGACTTTCTCCTGCTGCCCCACCTCACACCCCACCAACCCTCTATACTCTTTTATCTAGGGAATGGGATTTTGATCTGAAGAAATTACCAAACATTAAAATGAGAAAAATGTGTGCTAATGATGCAGTTCCCAAGAAGTGTAAGAAGAAAACTGTTATAACTGTGGACAAAGATTTAGGGGAATTGGAACTAAATGATGAATCAAGTGACTCAGATGAGGAAATGACTGCAGTGGCCTAATTTTCCTTTACTTGAGTTGAAAATAAATAAGTTGAGAGCTTCAAGTTGCACTTGAATTGGTTATGGCATGTAATCGTCTAGATACAAGAATTTGCTGTTTAGCGTATTCTCTTACATGATGAGAATCCCATTTGCAGTTTCAGAAACTTAGGATTTTTATTTAAAAATGAATATTGCTGTTTATTTACATTAAGTTGCTCAAACAGATATAGTGAAATAAAGTAGTGATCTTGAAGATTGATTTAATCTGAATTTCTGGGGCAAGAGGGAGCAATGTGAATAAGGACAAAAAATGTTTTAATTTTTTTCTTCTTGTTAGGATCACCTCATCTCACATTTTGGGGCAGTAGCAACCTGTTTTCTAAAAGGGTCCTGTGGGTACTTCTTGAGCAGTGATGATGGCTCAGTTGTATTTTCAGTAATAATGTTTCAGTCATCTTCCTCTTAAACATTAAGCCTATTTTCTTTCCTTATAAAATAGGGAAAATGTGGTATGGAATTTATATACACTGATAGATTGTACGTTATTTTTATTTATTTTCTTTGAGCCAGAATGAAATGACAAAAAAAGAAATGCAGCAACTGTTGTTGTTATGTTGATCTCCCACATTTAATCTGTTGTCTTTGATAAAAGCGATAAATGATTTCAGCTTAGCTCTTTTTGTTAATATATTATTTTCTGCTTTCTCATTATGAAAAGTGATAGGTTTTATTTGTGGAAACAGACCTAAAGATTAGAGAACCAGTTTTTTTCAGTTGTGTTGTTTTTTTTCTTCTAAGAGATACTAATGTAACTCAGTATTTCAAGTATCATGAAAATCATGGATCTGGTAGAATTTTTATTCACACAATTTAAGTGCAAGTATCTTTAGTCTATTTTTTAAAGGATGCAATGCAAGTGTGCCTGAGTATTTTCAAGGGAAAAAAACCATTAATGCTGTATGTGGTTAGCTAGATCTCAATTAAATTTTAACAATTTATTTAAAGTGTTACACCTTTTTTTACTTTTGAAAATTAAAAATAAAATGTATTTCCATAATTTCACTTCTTAAGATTCTAATTATTTCATTTGCAGTGATGTAACTGATGCTGATTTGCTTTTAGTAATATATGTGAAAGTATGGTTTTATGGTTACATAAGTTCTATCTGTTTAGTCATTGGAAGATTTCCTTTTTTTAGTTCTTATTTAGTCTCAAAATGGCTATAAAACTGAGTCATAGATTACAGTAAAGAGAATAGTAACTGTTTTACCTGGTCTGATATTTTAAAAGCCGCACTGTTAGATGAATAACTTGGGGAATGGCATATCATCCTTTCCCTCAAACATTTGTTGCTTGTTTCTCATATGCTATCAAAGCAAAAAATATACCAAGCCACAGTGCTTGGAACTAGAACAGGTAAATATGTGCTGAAAGGATGAATTTACTTTACTATTTAGGACCATATTTGTCATGTCACTTCTCGCTGGACCAAACTACCTTAGAGATAATTTGTCTTCAGAGTACTTGCTTTTAAATGATATTGTTAACCATTGTCTATAGAACATGTTCTTTCTGCTGTGATAACTTGTGCTCCCTTACCTAGACGCTTTTTCGGTCAGTATCTAGATTTGTAAGATAGCTTCTGCAGTCCATGGCCATGGAGCAGAGGAAAAGTAACTCGCTTTGTCGGCACTTCTGTATGAACTCTAGGGGCTGGCAGACTTGTTTTTGTAGAAGCCAGATAGTGAATATTTTAGGTAATTCAGGCCAAGTGCAGTTTCTGTTGCATAACCTTGTGTGTGTGTGTCTGTCTGTGTCTGTGTGTCTGTCTGTCTCTCCACCCTTACAGATGGAAAAGCCATTCAGTTCATCGGCTGGATCTGGCCTGCTTGCCATAGTTTGCCAACGGCTGGTCTAAACCAGTGAGCCGAACTTCCACAGCCATAGGCTAGTGATACATGTCTAAGCTCAGAGCAGCTAACTCGCACACCTGTGCCCTCTTCTCCTAACATCCTAGTCACTTCCTTGCCTTACCAATCAATGTAAGTATCACGTTAGGACTCTTTAGCGTGAAACAGGAGCTTTTTCTACTCTTTATATCTCTTGCGTTTCAGGGGCAAGAGATTAGATAGGTGTCCTCTTCACTCTATTGCCACTTCCAAATAATTTCTCCCTTAGTTCTTTGAAGTTTTAATATTGTCTCCCTTTCCTTATTATCTTACCTCCCAGAAGAACCTTCTTTGTGCCCATTGATTGAAGACTTTAGCTCCTGGCTCAGTTTCCTTCCTCTCTCCTATATCAGTCATTTTAGTGATTCCAGTAATCTTGCGGATAACAGATCTAACACTGTCACCTTTAAGTTTCTCAGTCTTTTTCTGTCACACCCACCCAGATCCTTATCAGTATCTGAAACTTCTATAAACTTGACTTGGAGCATTTTGTTCTCCATTCAGTCTCCTATCCCTCTCTATTGCTGAAGTTCTACACTTTGACTTCATTCTCTAATTGCGCATTGCCTAACTCCTGTCTTCAGCTCCTTTCTTGTTCAGCTTAGATTCAGAGTCCATAGTGTTTCCTTGCATAAGCTCTCGGTTCCTCTGCCCCTGACTGCATGATGCTCTTCTTTTCAAAACCCAAACCAAGTAAGGCTCAGTTCCCTGTTCCCAAGCAGCTCAACATTGCTGGAGAATATCACAGACCGTTTTCCAATTCATGTTTGCAGATCTCAAGGGGATTCTCAATACTGCTTACCAGTTGTACTGTGTCCCTATTAAGTTCATTTTCCAACTTTGAGATGGTATTTTTTACTTTTCATACTTTCTAGCTTTAATACTCGGGTTCTCAGTGTTCAGCTGTTAACTTTTTATACATCATTGAGAAAACAGACACGCATTTTCTCCAATTGAATGGATGTAGTAGCTTTTCTCCTTTCAAAGACAAACGCTGCTACTTGTGCTCTAGATTCCCACACCCTGTTGTCTTCTTAGGAACCTTGATTCTCCCCAAGTTTTTCACCACATTTCTCAAGCCAGAAAACTGCCTATAAATCATTCTTGATTCTTCCCCATGTCCTTCCCCAGTCTAATTTAATTAGTGACTATTTCTGGTTCTAATTCCAGAAAAGGAAGTCAAACCAGTGCATGTGAGGCCATCCCCACTTCCCGCTCTTACCTCATCACGAGGTTCTATGTGCAGAAAGTAGCTTCCTGGCTGGCCTCATGCCACCATTTTTGCTCTACTTACTCCATTTTTTTATTACCTGAGTAGAAAAATGCTATTACATTCTTTCGTATATCCAAAGCATATTCACGAGAAAATCCTTTCCCTATATTACATTATTTCTCTTAAAGTGTGTTTTTAAAACAGGGTTTGAAAGTCTATATAGGTTCTTTCCGCTGGCTTTCCCTTGTGAGTACATCTGTTTCCTCCTATCTGCAATGTCATGGGTTAGTCAGTCTGTGTTGGCCTTAGAATGATTATAAATATATTCGGACCCTGCTTAATAAAACCCCAGACCAGGTCAAGTCTGAAGAACTCAAGCTTGTTTGGATGTTGCAAATACAAATCTGCAGAAACCCCGGTAAGTTAAGCAAAAAGTATAGAACCCACAACAAAGGTATGAGTCACTTGTTTAATATACAAAGTCTTTCACAGATAATTATTTTCTTTTCCGTAATTTGTTTTAGTACACATTATTCACAAAACAGTAAATTGTTAATGCAAGAGAACTAGGTAAAACCAATAAAGTACAAATGCTCAATCTCAAAAATTGCACACAGTTAAAATAATTTTTCCTTGTTGATTTTAATGCAATATCCAATTTCAACATGGGCTTTCTTCAAATGTGGAGGAAATACTGCAGCCCAAAATAACAGTACGTCCTTTCAACTGTATTAATATGTAAAATAGCACCTTTGGGCTGACATAAGGAAAGAAAAAAGGTTTTTATCTTTCTTAATTAAAGTGTAAGCCCTACACAATTATATAATAACTACAATAATGATAATAAGTTTTATGAACTCTACTTTGTTCCAAAATACTCATTGGGAAGGCAAAGCAAGGTGAATTATGTCAGGCAGATGGAATAATCTTCCTCACATCCATGACAATGATCATATCTTAATTATGTCATTGCTCTAATGAGCTAATTTTCCAACCAAAGAACAGCTGTTTTGGGGGTACCCAGGGACCTTTTGCAAAACAAGATAAATGTAACCATGAGGCCATTTCACTGGGACTACAATCACATGGAAAAGCAGCTCAGAGTGAGATGTAATCCTGGGGCATTTCGAAAAACTCCTTCAGTATAAACCTGTTTTCCTTCAGTTTCTCCACAGCCATATCCCAGGTTGAAGGGATCATTTTTCGGTGTTTTTTCTTCGTTTTTGTTTTACTTGTGTTTCTACTTAAGCTTTATTGCCTTTTGGACTTCACTTTAAAAAAAAAAAAGTGCTTCAATTTCATTCTTTACAATTTAATCTTTGATCCTATACAATAAAAGTGACAGCTCTTTAAAAAATTAACAGCATAAATGTTTGTGGTTTATAGGATTGATAATACTACAGATTTCGTGATTATAAAAAGTCAAAATTTTAAACCGAACTGTAAGTTCATTTTTCAATTTCAGTCCTTTATTTCAATACCAGTTTTTTTCTTACATCAGCAGGTAAACATGCTTCAAAAAACAGGCATTCTGGAGAGCAGTTTTTCTTTTAGAAGGGCATATCCAGTCCACAAAAGCGTTGTCATAAAGCCGAATCCTTTCATTGAAAGGACAAATGTACCATTGCCACACAGAATATAAAAAGAAAATAATCATCCTTAGGTTTTAAGTGCACGTAGTTACTTAGATTGAACCATAAACAGCCTTTGCAAGAAACCTTTTTAAAACATTTCAAGAATTCAGGGTTTAAAAAGGTCAGAAGAATAACAATAAAATGTTGACTTTTAACCTGCTAGGGAGCTATATTTTCTCATTTCAAGAATGCCAAAGCCTATATAAGTTAATTTTGAGAATTTAGGTATGCTTTTAAAACACCATGTCATCTTTTATTGTTAATACTGT